ATGACCCTTTGCCTCCGAGAAGATGGCAATCCCCACCTCTCATTACATCCAATGTTTATCATTACTGTGCTCTTATTTTCAGCTTCTTTTACAAATGCAGAAAGCAACACACACACACACACACACACACACACACACACACACACACACACACAAAGGCAAAGCACTTACTGAGAGCGGTTTATAAGGGCCTAGGAGAAAGGAAGAAATTTATCACACTGCCCCCAAAGCCAATCCCTTCTCCAGATTCAGATTCCAAAAGTCCACAACTTATTTTAATTCTCAAGTCTCTGGGGTTGAAAACAAAGACCCAGGGGGTTAAGAAAGTTGTCCAAAGTTTCTAAACAAAGCTGAAATTTGTATCTCAGGCTATCAGACATGTAAGGAATTGTCCTGGTCCTTAATTGTTTTGTAGCTTAAGATAAGACAGGACACCTATTTCTTGTGGCCTATGTGAAAACAGTTGGATTTCATTGTGTTTTGTTTTATGTTATTTATTTGTTTATGGGTATTGTATGTTTATTGTATGTTTGGGTGGTTGTGTATGGAGCCTCCTCTCTGCTTTTGTGCATGTGTGCATGTGTAGGCCGGTGTTCAATCATCTCTCAGACATCATCCACCTTGCTTTTATGAGACTGGCTTTTTCACTGGCCTGGAGCTTCCCGAGGGGGAGAGGCTATCAGGCCAGTGAGTGCCAGGGATCCCCATCTCTACTTCCTAGCCCTGGAACTGCAAGTATGCCACATGCTTGTGCTTTATAGAGTAGTTCTGGAGATTGAGTGCAGGTCCTTTTGCTTGCACCCCAAACACTTTAGCCACTGAGCTACCTTGCAGCCCCAGTAGTCTGATTTTAATTATCTCCAAGTTTCAGTGTCAACCAAGAGGTGTGACAGAGCCATGAAATATGAGCATCTCTGGTCACAGGAGGAGGGGCTGAACGTTCAAGTGTTAAGAAGGAAGAGCCACTTTTGCCCCTCGCTGGCCAGTCCACACCTGTTGTCTGCTTCCAGTCCTAGGAACTTTCCTTCAGAGAGATAGCCACAAGTATGCATTGCCCAAGACCAAGGAATCCAGAAGCAACCCTCCTTAGGAAAACAGTTAAGGACCAGCAGCCTAGAGCTGTGAGGAGAGAGAGGCATGGAGAGGTATAATGCAGTGCAACTCACTAAGACTATCTGTCCAGTATACCCGGGACAGTCTGTATTGCTCCTAAGAGCAAACTGGACTACTTGCTGGCACTGAGACACTAGACAGATACATCCATGGAATTCTGTTAGCATCTTAGACCCACACTTAACAAGGCACTTACATTGTGTCTCCCTGTAAGAAACAGAAGCAAGTATTCTACAGTGACACAGTTCAGTGCCCTGAGATATTGCCTGCATTCTAAGAGTAAATTTAATGGATGGTACAGGACAGCCACCAACATGCATCCAGCAATATTTATCCTGTTACACTATTATGTGTACTAGTTCAGGGGTGGCCTTTGTGATCAATCGAATATAGTGCAGGTGACGTGTGTGTGACTCCCAAAGCTAAAGAAGATGAAGAAGTATTCCGGTTCAGTCTGGCTTCTCTACATCATTCATCAGGGTAAGAAGTAGTCAGCCTCCATGTCATAGGCACACTCAGCAGAAGAACCTCAGCTGCTAGCCAACAGCCAGCCCCAAGCTGCCAATCATGTGAGGTGCGGGTCCCCAAGCCTCTGGAAAGCTATCGGCTCACTGCAGCTCCACTGACATTGAGTGAAAGTAACCTCATGAGACAACCTAAGCCAGAAATTCCCAGTTGATTTTTTCTCAAATTCCTGACTATAAGACCACAAGCAATGGTAAATGATCACTGATGTGTTAAGCCACTAAGTATGGGGAGGTTTGCTACTATAACAACTAGAACATGGAGCTGTGCCATCCTAGGAGGCCTTCCTCCAGGGTCTGGGAGCTCTAGGCTTTGGCCGTAGGCTCTATTCTCAGTAGAGCTGGACACTGGGTGTGGTATGCTGGTGAGCTTCATAGACAGTCTGCTACTGAGGGCAATAGCAATCACATAGCACCAAGATACTGTGGAGAGGTGAACTGAATGTATGAGAGCAGTAAAGAACAGAGAAGATGAAGTTACACCCATTCATCATACTAGGACAAGCCGCAGGGAGACAGGGATCACAGCAGTACAGGTGGAAAAGATGCAGGCTCAGCCTTGATGGGACTATCAGAAAGACACAAACATGTAGGTGACATAAACTAAAAGCATGGGATTCAGAAAAACACAGTGCACGCACGCGCGCGCGCGCGCGCGCACACACACACACACACACACACACACACACACACACACACAAACACCCCTTCACACACACTGAACACATTAACAGGACTGATTTCCACTTTAAATCACTCTTTAGTGGGCAATGCAGACTACCTTAATGGAGATTTCTAGAAAGTGCTCAAAATCTGTTGGATGAGACAAATGAGTAAGGGTAGAAAGAAGCAAGGATGCCCAATCAAAAAAAAAAAAGGAGATGCTAATGGAGAAAATAATGGTCTGCCATGCACAAGAGGCACAGCCAAAGTGTGGAAATGGCCCCACTTTATTCACTGCAGATCCCACAATGAGACAAGAGCTTCCTAAATGCTAGAAACCATGAGAAAATGGGGCAAACCATGGGCAAGTCCGAGAAAGGTGTGCTGCCCAGCATGTGGAAACAGCTAGCATGCTCTCAGAAGGGGTGTCTCCTGAGTTCGGTCACAGCCCTTTGTCACTCTGAGCATCTCTCTCTATGGTTCCATGATTGCATAAACTGCTGAGTGATGTCAAGGCAACGTCTCTGCTTCAGCTAGTGTGTGAAATACCTGGTAGATCTTGGGAAAGTGAAGATTCTGAGTCTGAAGCCCTGGGGTGGGCCTGAGATTCTGTGTTTCTCACAAGCTCCCCACTGCCATGAGAATCTGTGGTCTGTAGCCCACACATTTCGGAGAGACGTCAGAACTTAACAATGACTGCCAATGGCATCAGGTAGCTTTTCAGAGACACCAAGTGATTGTAAAGTAGCTTAGAAAATTACAAAATATTCTAGCAGAGAACGGGGAACAGAATCAGAACGACTGTTCAGCGAATGAGACTTCTGTGTGGAGTGGGACATGTATCCATGTGCCACTTGAGGCTTTCTGAAGTTATGACCTTTGAGTGTCAGAATTCAGTCTTCAAAGTATCAGACTGAATTTTACCATGGGCTGTCTGCATCCTCCAGAAGGCAGTGTGGTGCCATATCCGCCTGCCTCACATCCCTTCACTGCCTGTGTGACCTTAGCGTCTCAGGGTCTCAATGTGTCCCTGGGAGCCCTTGGTGCTACAAAGCATCATACATATACAAAATGGCTGCTGTCTTTTCATTAAAACTGACAGATGACAGTTTTATGTAATGAAGGGACTTGCTCCCTTCATTACAAAGATGAATTATATAATGAATATATTTGTCCTTGGCTTGAATTGCTCTTCATCAAGGCGCCCCACAAAGTAGGTCAAATATGATCCCACTTTGCAGACAAGGACAGTCTGTTGTCACCCAGAATGTGACATGAGAAATGCATTTGGAAAGTAAGAGACTGATATTTTTCTCAAAAAGAAAAGTTTTAATTTAATTAATTCATTTATGTTTGTTTTTGTTTTTCAAGACAGGTTTTCTCTGTGTAGCAACCTTGGCTGCCTGATCTCACGGAGATCCACCTGCCTCTGCCTCCCAAGTGCTGGGATTAAAGACATTCAACACTGCACTGGCTTAACAAGCACTAATTTAAATTTTTAAAAAGGAGATTGATGTTCCTAGAGAGCACTTTCCCCCCAGCCCACTAACTCATAAGGTTCCATTCTATTCCATCCCTCTAACAAAAGAGTACTCTGTGTATTACTATGTGGCTGTGCTTTTTGATGTTCTAAGACTCAAAACAGCCAGTATACAGATGGAAAAGAAGACAGGACAAGAACGGCCAGTCTAAAGAACACCTGAGCCACAGCTCGGCTCTCAGAAACTGAAGGTGGGCTGAGCAGCACAGCCCACCCTGGGCTTCACCCCCTGTACATGGGAGAATGTCAGAGATTGTCAGAGAATGTCCTGGGCTAACACAGCTAGCCAGCGAAATACCCAGACAACCCCAGCATAGTCAAGCGGAGGAAAATAAGGCACACCACTTCTGACCCTTCCACCAAGAAAAACTCGGACAGTTCTCTCTGTGCTGTGTAGTCTGCAAAGAATCCGCTTCTTGTCCAGTGAGAGATTTGGGAGCTTTCCATCACACTGCCTGAGCAGTTTTAATGTTTTAATGAGAAGCACACCAGCTTCCTCTCAAGGCCATCAGCAGTCTGAATCCCCAACCCCCAAATGTGCTGCAGTCTGACCGGCTGCTCCAGTGGCACAGAGGGGTGACCTTGATTTGAAATTAGCCCCCAACTTGATGGGCAACTCCACCACTTTCTGTGCTCCATGGTGTGATCATCGTTGGGAGGTGAGGGGTGGTGTTGTAGTATTTAACTTATTGGGAAATTTAGAGAAATTAATATTACTGTATGCTGCAACTATCTCATAGTGGGTATTCATAGACTTAGTTTTTTAAAAAAAAATTTCCTGGAAACAAATTGATTAAGGAGTACCATAGAGGCGGTAGCAAATTCCTGCTTGAGATGTCCTTGGACCATGCTGAGTTTTGAAGACCCCTAACCTTGTGCCTTGTACCTCTATAGCTGCCTCATCTCCTCTCTCTGCCCTCCCCTGTCGTTTCGGGGTAATCCACCCCCAAAACTTTCCAGCAACGCTCCGTGAGGGTTCTTCTAAATCGCAGCCCCACAGTAGGGGGTCCTCCTTTGCGACTCAGCCCCTCTGGGTTCTGACTGCAAATTTCCACCAGCTGTTCAGGGAACTCTTGGCCTGCCACCCTGGCCACGCAAGCCGGGTGCTCCCGGCACTCTGCGGGCGGGCGCAGCCCTCCGGGGCCGCCTGGACTGCGGAGCTGCCGACCGCAATGCAGACGCGGGGCCCTCCAGTGCTGCCCGCGTGGCTTTCCTCAGCGGGTCCCGGCGCTGTGGGGTCCGTGCTCCTCTCGTGCCCTGTGCTCCCGGCAGCTTCCCCAGCTGAGCGCGGTCCCCAGCCCGGGTTCAGCACTCTTTGGATGCCTCTGCCTTCCCCTCCCCCTGTAGACTGGTCCCGGGGGTGGGGTTTCCCTAAGCTCTCGCCCCCTCCCACCCCCACCCCTCATGTGTGCCCACCCCTCCCCCGCCCGCCCCTATGTATGTGTCACGGCGCGCCATTCCCGCCCACCTACCTCCCCGCGGTACCAGAGGGGGCTCACTGAGCTGAGGACGCGCACAGCACCACTCAAAGGTCCCTCACTCTCTCTCCGCACCCTTGCCGGCTGGCATCTGACGCAGGTGCCAAGGGGGCTCCGGGCACCTTTCTGTGTCCCTTCCCTCTACCAACCCTGCTCCGCAACCCAGCCAGTTAGCTGCCACTGAGGCCACCGCCCGAGGGGACCTGCGGACAAGACGCCGGAGGGAGGAGGGGTGCGGAGGGCACTCCGCGCAGAGCATCCCCGCTGCAGCGCTGCAAGACCCGGGGCTCGCAGCCCCCCAGGAATCCCTAGCTGCCTCGCCAGCGTTAAGGGACTGAAGTTTTTGGAGCAGCAAGTCCAACTCTTCAAGGTAAAGGAAGGTCTCCTCTCCAGAGGCGCTCTGTCCCAGGGCATCTGGAAATGCTCCTATGTGCTGGGGGTAGTGTGCCTCGATGTCCCCCTTGGGTATGTGCGTGGGGCTCGGGACCTGAACTCCAGGTGCACCGAAGTTGAGCAAACTCAACTGCTGCCCTGACTAAGAATGAATGGAAACACGTGGAGGGGGCTCTTGCTCTTGCTTTTACAAGTTTAAGGTCTGGGGGCGCTAAACTGAAGTGTAGACTGAGAAGCAATTTTAAAGCCAAGGAAATGTGGATTCAAATACCCCGCTCCCCTCTGCGCCCCCCTCCCCCGTTCCTCTTGGCGCTCCATTAGGCTTTCGTCTTCCTTGGAGAGGCCAAGTGGCCAAGGAATCAACAAAATTATGTGGATAGCAGGTCAGACAAGCAGCAGATACCTGAGCAGGGTTCAGAGAACTAAGGAGTCCCGTTGGCTTGCTACAGGGGTCTTGGGGCACCCAAAGCAGCAGGGAAGAGCTGGGTAGAGGTTGGCAGAACCTGGGACAGGGCTACTGAGCTGCAGACCAGAGCCAAGCTCAGAAATGACTGTCTCTACCAAGATGGAAAGAGCAGAGGGTGGAAAGAGCAGAGGAGACAGGGATGCGAGACTGTCCCGGGGCAGTTTTCCCATTTCTGGGCTTCTCTGTAACCCTTCCAACTCTGGGGCTGGGTGGAAGGGTGACAGCGTGTCAGTTAGCTATGGGCGGGCATGGAGGGTTGTCTCCTTCAGGAGGAAGGATCCGGCCCAAACTTTTTGGATATGCCGCTCCCCACAGTTGGGAGCCCTGGTGCGGGTATCCACTTGAATTTCACTACCAAGCATCTCAGGTCCCAGGTAACCCGGTGAAATGTGTTGATTCCAGTTCTGTGGGCTGGCAGCCAGAAGCAATGGGAGGAAGAATCTATGTGAGTTGTTTTAAGTGGTGCCTTTGCCTCTGGATGTTGCAGTGGGTTGGTGTCTGCAGCACTAGACCCTGAAAAATACCCATTGCATCTCCTCTGGGGAAGGGAACCTAGAACAGCACAATGACTTTCTACAGGACATTGATTTAGGGACAAAGAAAGGATTAGGTCTAGATTTTTGAGGATGATTTTTCTCAGCCTGATTTGTTTGTTTGTTTGTTTGTGATGGGATTTTTCTGTGTAGCCTTGGCTGTCCTGGAACTAGCTCTTGTAGACCAGGCTGGCCTCGAACTTACAGAGATCCGCCTGCCTCTGCCTGAGTTCTGGGGTTAAAGATTTTTCAGCCTGATTTAAGGAACCAGAAGTCTTAGCTTTTTCTTACCTCTGGGTTACCATGACAATGGTTATCAAGCTGCTTATATGTACTAAGCAAGGCTAGTTAGTTAGGGGACTCTGGAGATAGGAATGTTGGCCAACCAAGTCACCAACCCAATGGAGATTCTACTAACCTAAAGAAAACATTACAGAATGAGTAACACTTCCACCCCCATTTAAGATGAAGGAATTATGAAAAGGGGGGAATCTCTCTTAGAAATACTGGAATTCCTGAAGTTGTGTTGAATTTAAATATAATTATGTGTTATTTCTAATGCCAGGCCTGGTTGTTCATTCACTGTACACTTTCTCCAAGTATCTTTCAGAAACCAGGCTCTGGGTTCTGTGGTGGCTCAGCAGGCACCCAATAAAGAGCTGAGATGACCCAAGCAAAGGGCCACTGCCCATCCACCACCCAGCAAGTACTTGGGGAATGCTATTATTATGCATTTTAATATTAACTAATTGTGTTTGTCCTAAATTTTTCCATGAAAACCATGCGTAATCATCTTCATACTGGGACTCTTTAAAGTTTGAAACCCATCATTACCCCTAGACACTCAGGGTACCCTGCACACCTCCCGCCATCCCATGGCATTATTCTACCCTGGCATGCAAAGACGGAGCACCTAGACAGAACTCACCTCCTGAATGGTGGGGAAATAGATTAGGGTTCAAACCCCACTACTTAATGTTACATGAGTTTGTCTTGAACCTCCTTGAGGTTCAGTTTCCTGTCTCTAAAAGGGGCAAGAAGGGGAAACCTGTAGGAGTGGATTTCTTCAAAGATTAAAGGGCAGAATGTAGGTGCCTTTTCAAACCCTCTACAGACATTACAAACATTAGTTCTTCCTTACCGGGTCACAAATCATAAGCTCTAAGTAGTGCCACTTTTGAACATTCTTAGAGACTGCTTGTCTCAAGTTTTGGTGTGGATTTTTTAATGATACCTTTTAGAACTGGATCCTTCCCAGACCCTGCTGGCTGGACATTTAGGGTGCCTTGGCTGAGCCTGGCAAAGGCCATAGACTTTGGCTTGGAGTGTCATTGTGTGTCCATGATTGCCTACAAGAATTACCCAATTGCAAGCTAAAACACCAGGTCGGGGAGGGGGTGGCTTTAATGAAATAATAGATAATATTATGCTGCCCATATAGTAAGGGCAAGTATTATTTCTTGAAATTTTCATTTATGCTATGTGTTTTGCAGTCCTCTTTAAGGGTATGTGTATTCATAACACATATACAAATAGACATACATTTTATATTTGCATAGTATGTTTCATGTTGCACATTATAGTCCATAAAAATTCGGGAGATATGAGCTGCAGCCCGGTGTGATGGTACACTGTAATCCCAACATTTGGAAGTCTAAAGCCAGCCTGGGCTACATAATGTGTTGGAGGCAAGCCTGAGCTACATTGTGAGTTCCTTTGTCAAAAATGAAAGACTACAAATAGAACTCAAAAACAGAAAGAAAGGGAGTGGGGGAGGGGAGAGAAGACACCAATAGCTGTGGTGTTTCTGTCTGAGAAATTCCAGGTAGCTGGCAGTAGAATGTCCTTGATGCAATTGTACCAACACCTGGCCAGACTGGAGGCAGCTAGAGGTGGAACCTGGGGATGGGGGAGAAACAAGTTCAATAAAGAGAACACTCAATCTCAGAGGGGAAATGAGATATTGGAAGACAGCACCGAGTACAGATATATAGGTAAAGTGGGGTAAAGTTTAGAAACATGTCTTAGAGATACGAGTGTTTCTCTCCTGCTATTGGGAAGTCCCACTCTGGACTCCCGTGCCCCAGGAATATAGGACAGTCAATGCAACGTTTTCTTTAAGGATGGTACCCCCCTCTTTCCTGGACACTAACTGACTGGATGCCTGTTAGAAGAATCTGGGGAGAGTTGGGGGCAAGCTGGAGAGAGAATTCAGGCAAGAAAGGGACAGAAGCGGAGGGAAAATTTGTAGGGAAACCAGTAAAACGGTTCCTTTTTTCAAAAGTTGAATCCAGGGCAAGAACGGAAATGGTTGAGTTTACTTTGAAAAACTCAGAGCCTCCTTGTATGTAGCTCTGTGTGTGTGTGTGTGTGTGTGTGTGTGTGTGTGTGTGTGTGTGTGTGTTGGAAGGCGGGCTCTGTGGGCTGGCTGGGCTGTGTGAGAGGCAACATTGCTCCCTCAATGGCCTTACAGTGTATCCTAAAGAAGCTTTTTGTTAAACTTGTGAATAGGTGGATTGGGGGTGTGAGGCTGGACATCACGAATTGGCTATTTGCTTACCTTTGAGGCCCAGTGTTTTTCCTTTTTAAGATATCCAACCTGAAAAGTACTCATGTCTCCTGAGGGGTGGGGGGACTACAGGGGCAGGGGGCTGCCTGTCTCCATAACTGCTTTGACTGGAAGAGCAAAAAAGAGGAAAGAGACAGTGCTAAGCAGGGCTGCAGTGCCCAGCCTGGGGGCAACCCTCTTCAGCTTTCTGGTCTCTGGGTATCCCCAGATCATGGATGATCTTTGTTTTCAAGGCCTGTAATGATCCTCATTTAAGTGATTGCCAAGGGAACTTGGAGAGGGGAAGGACTGACCCCGGGTCACCCCGGAACAGAGTCTGTACAGGAACCCAGAGTATCAGGATTTTATCTAGAATATTCCACATCCTCAGCTACCATTCATTCATCACCAGTACTTGTCCCATATTGGGCTCTGTGTGTAGCTGATCCTGTCCTCTTCTTCATGGTCTAATAGCAGCAGGAGCTATCAGCTTGACCCTGGCCCCTCATTTCTATCAAAGAGTGAGTGGTTCTCAACTGGGAGCTCTTTTGTTCCCATCCCTCAACATGCCTAAGGCCATTCTCTGTTGTCACTATTTGAAGGGGGATGCTACCCACATGCTGTAGAGAAAGGCCAATGAAATTGCCAAACACTTTTTAATACACAGAATTGGGCACGCGCACACACGCGCGCGCGCACACACACACACACACACACACACACACACACACACACACACACGCAGCACAAAATCCCAAATGTCACTGATGTCAAAGCTGAGAAAAAAAATGGCTCCAGACCTTCATTCATTCTCTGGATCGAGCCACACCCAGCAGAGTAAGTGTGACAACCAGAAACTAGAGGGAGATTCTGATTAACAGCCAATAGCAGGCAACAAACGGGAAGTGAGGGGACAGTGAGGCCTCAGAGCCCAATACAAAGAACATGGCCCATATGAAAGTTGAAGTCTTAGCTGGGTGCCTGTGGCAGCGTGCTTACCCTTCTGAGCCTGTTTCTGCCTATGAGATGGCCATGGCCATTTCTGCATCTATGAAATGGACATCCAAGACCAAGCAAATAAAGACGCTGGCACAAAGCAGACCTACAGTATAACCACAGCCGTTATTATCTTTGAGGTTTTTCAAGGTCCCGCTATGGAAAGTTACAGCATCAGCAGGTGAGGGCATGTGATCTCTAAGCCAAAGAAGGCTTCTGTTTGGGCCTGGTTGCCATGGCAATGTTTTCTGCTGGGGAAGGGAAGAGAGTGTGTGGTATCAGCACCTCCCTCACATACAGCTCTCAGCTGAGAGTGAGAAGGCTACTAGAGCTTGCTCTGGTGAGAAGCCAGAGGTGTCCAGGGTTGGTGTCCAGCATTCCCAGACTTGGAGATGAAAGAGACCAGATCGGTGTGACAGAAGCTTCACCCTCTG